GGGCTGCGCCGGGCCGGCGCTCACGCGTGTTCCCGCAGGGCGCGGCGGCGGCGGGCGGCGGCGCGGATGGAGCGGCTGCGGCGGGAGCTGGGCGGGGGGCGCGGAGCCCCCGATCGCGCCCTGACCTGGCAGGCCATGGAGCAGCTGCGGTGAGCGCGGGGCCGGGCGGGCCCGGTGACCGCCCCGGTGACCGCCCCGGTGACCGTGCCGTGCCCGCAGGTTCCTGCGGCAGGAGCTGCCCGAGGAGTGGCCGCTGGAGCGCCTGGCCCAGGGCTTTGGCGTCAGCCCCGACGTGGTGCGGCGGGTGCTGCGGAGCCGCGGCTGCCCCTCGCCGCGCCGCCGCCTGCGGCAGGACCAGCGGGCGCTGAGCGCCGCCGCCACGGCTCCGCCGCCGGGACGGGGAGCGGGGGACGGGCGCGAGGTGCGCGCCCCCGACGGGACGCTGCTGTACCGGCTGCCGCGGGGCTGGGGCGGGCAATAAATGCAGTTGGGACCCGCCTCCGCCTGTGCTGCTTCCGTCGCGCCGGGCGCGGGCTCCGAGGCGGCGGGGATGAGCTCCGAGGCGGCGGGGATGGGCTCCGAGGCGGCGGGGATGGGCTCCGAGGCGGCGCGGCTGCTGGAGGCCGTGGACTTTGCAGCCAGGAAACACAAGGAGCAGCGGCGGATGGATCCCGAGGGCACCCCCTACATCAACCACCCCATCGGTGCGGAACCCCCCCGGCACCGCGTCCCGCTCCCGGGAGACCCCCGCGGCCGCTCTCTCCCGGCGCACCGCTCACCCCGGGGCCCCTCCTGCCCCGGCGCGCTCCAACCGCGGAGCCCCTCACCCCGGTCCCTGGGCAGAGCCGTGCCCCGTGTCCCGTGCCATGGCCTCGGCCCGAAGCGGGCAGAGCTGCCGGAGCACCGCAGCCCTGCCCCGGCCCTGTGTCTGGCTGCCACCCGCTGCTGCCCGGCTGTGCCCGGGCCCGCGGGGGGCTGCTGCCAGGCCTGGGGACAGCCCCTGCGACCTTCCTGCCTGCCCAGCCGAAGGATTCACCGCGGGACGTGCCCGCGGGGTGTCCCCCGCACAGGGCTGGTCTCGGGGAGCCTCGCTGCCCACCGGTGGCGCAGCCCCCGTATCACAGGGGCGCGGAGCTGCCTGTGCCCCGCCGCCTCCTGCCACCTTTCCGTTCTCCGGCAGCCGTCGCCAGGATCCTGGCGCATGAGGCCGGCGTGACGGACGTGGTGGTGCTGCAGGTAACGCCCGGCCCGGCCCGGCCCGGTCCCGCTGCCCGGCCCGAGCCCCTGCTGCCCCCCGCGTCCCCTCCTCGCCGCAGGCCGCCCTCCTGCACGACACGGTGGAGGACACGGACACCACGCTCGCGGAGATCGAGGCGCGGTTCGGCGCGGAGGTGCGGCGCGTGGTGGAGGAGGTGACGGACGACAAGAGCCTGCCCAAGATGGAGCGCAAGCGGCTGCAGATCGAGCGCGCTCCCGGCTGCAGCCGCCGCGCCAAGCTGGTCAAGCTGGCGGACAAGCTGCACAACCTGCGGGACCTGAAGCGCTGCACCCCGCAAGGTACCGGCGGAGCCCCGGGCCGGGGGCACCACGGCGCCGGGTGCAGCGGCACGGGCCCGGCCAGCAGCACGGCTGCTGCTGCTGGCTGTGCCGAGGGACAGAGGGGCCCTGCGCTGGGCCGGGGCATGGCGGGGCAGTGTGTCTGTGCCGGTGTCCCCGTGGCACCGGCACCGGCACCGGCACCGGGGCAGGAAGTGACGTACGCCACGCGTGTCCCCGCAGGCTGGTCGGAGGAGCGCGTGCAGGAGTACTTCCGGTGGGCGGCGCGCGTGGTGTCCGGGCTGCGCGGGACCAGCGCGGCCCTGGAGGGGGCGCTGCAGCGCCTGTTCGAGGAGCGCGGCGTGCCCACGTGACCGGGGGCCGCGCCCGCCTCCGCCAATAAACGTGCGCAGAGCTCAGCGTCTCTGGGTTGCCATAGTATCGCGCGGTTCCGCCGCCGCCGAGTTCCGGCCGCGCCGCGCCCGCGCTGTCGCGTTCCGGTGCCGAGCGGGCCCCCGCCATGGCGCTCGCCGGGCGGCGCGACGCGCCCGAGCCGCCGGACTTCGGCATCCTGAAGCGGCTGGCGCGGGACCAGCTCGTCTACCTGCTGGAGCAGGTCCGGGGGGCGCCCGGGGCGGGCATCCCGCAGCGGGGCGGGCGGAGCGAGTCGGCGGGATGGGCGTTGGCCGGGGCGGGCGCGGGGGGCCCGGCGCGGGGCAGCCGCCGGTGCCCGCTCATGCCCGCCTGCCCGCAGCTGCCCGGGAAGAAGGACCTGTTCATCGAGGCCGACCTGATGAGCCCCCTGGACCGCATCGCCAACGTGTCCATCCTGAAGGTAGCGCGGGCCCGCTCGGGCCGCCCCCGCCCGCCGCCGCCCGCGCCCGACCCGCGCCCTGTCCCCGCAGCAGCACGACGTGGACAAGCTGTACAAGGTGGAGAGCCGGCCGGGGCCCGGCGCCAGCGACCAGTGAGTGCCCGAGGGTGGGCTGGGCTGGGCTGGGCTGGGCAGGGTGAGCTGGGCTGGGCAGAGCCGGGCAGGGCAGGGTGGGCTGCCCGGCACGGAGCCTCCAGCGGCCTCGCCCCCTGTGCCGCAGGTTCTGCTTCCTGGTGCGGCCGCGGGTCCGGACCATGCGGCTCATCGCCGGTGAGTGCGGCTGCCCTCGGCCGGGCCAGTGCTCCGGGCCGCCGCTGAGCCCCGGCCCCGAGCGGGTGGGCAGCTGTGCAGGGGCTCTGCGCGGTCTCCACAGATATTGTCAACGCTGACAAGATGTCGGGCAGGAGCAGGAAGTACAAAATCATCTTCAGCCCCCAGAAGGTCAGTGGGAGCCGCGGTGCTGCCCGTTCCCCCGTCACTCTGCCTGCCCGGCCTCTGCACCTTCCACCCTTCTATAGGCACCAGAAATTGTAACCCAGAAATGTTTAAGTAAACCCACGTGTTGTGCTGCCTGGGAAGGTGCTGGGCCCCTCCCGAGCTTTTCCTGCTCAGAGCCTGTCTGGCCCTGAGGGTCTCCCCTTCCCTTCCAGTTCTGTGCCTGTGAGATGGTGCTGGAGGAAGAGGGGGTCTTTGGAGGTGAGTGGGGCTGCAGTGCTGCTCGGGGTGGCTGACACCACAGGATCCCCGTTAAATCCCAGTGCTGGGATCCCCGTGTGGGCAGAGAACACGAGTTCCCTCGAGGCTGGCTGCCAGCCTGCAGGCAGATGTGTGCCCACACAGCATCAGTCCCTCTCTTCTGCCTGAGGAGAGGAGAGAGGGTCCTGCCACCCATCCTGTCTGAAGCTCCACAGGCCCTGTTTTGGGGCTGCTGTGATTCTTGGGGCTCTTCCTGCCCGGGGCTGCACAACTGTCCCCTGTCCCTGTCCCGAGCACAGATGTCACCTGCGATGAATGGTCCTTCTACCTGCTGCCCCTGGATGAGGACATCATTAGCATGGAGCTGCCCGAGTTCTTCCGTGACTACTTCCTGGTCAGTGGGACGCTGTGGGGGGTGGCAGCCCATCCTGTCCCCTGTGCCTCACGGGGCTGGGCACGAGCTGCTGTTCAGAGAGGAGGTGTGTGGCCCTGCCAGCCCCTCAGTGCGCACCACGGCCCCGTTTGCTCCCCAGGGCAGCTTTTGCTGGCCCCTCTGCCCCTGGCCCAGCAGCTTGGGGCAGCTCCCAGCTCCGTGCCAGCCCAGCCCCTGCCCTGCAGTCCTTGCCAGCCAGCTGCCACACTCACTGCCTCGTCCCCAGGAGGGAGATCACCGCTGGATCAACCCCGTGGCCAGGGCCCTGCAGCTGCTGAGCTCCCTCTACGGCCCCTTTGGGAGGACGTACGGCATCGGCCGCTGTGCCAAGGTGGGGCTGGCACCGGGCCCTTGGGTCCTGTCAGGGTGCGCCTGGCAGGGACCTGGACCCCGCCAGGCACACGGCAGCACATCACCAGCGGTGTCACTGCGCTGTGCCTCCTCCTGGGCGGGTTTGGGGGTCCCGTGTGCCAGGCTGGGCAGCGGAGGGGCGGTGCTGCTGGCTGGGGTGTGGGGAGCCCCCCGTGCCCTGAGGGCAGGAGCCTTTGTGCCTGGCCTTGGCTGTCAGCCCCGCTGTGTGCCAGGGCCCTTGGTGGCAGCCGGGGCTGCTCCCCGCCCTGGCACCCTCTGCCCTCTCAGATGAGCTACGAGCTGTGGCGGGACTTGGAGGAAGAGAGCGACAGCGAAGGGCAGGGCAGGAAGCCTGAGATTGGGCACGTCTTCCTCATGGACAGAGGTGGGCTGAGGCACGGCTGCGGGCTGGGCAGCACGTGTCCCAGAGGGGCAGGGAGCCTGCGTGGGGCGGCAGGAGCAGCGGGAGCGCAGCCTGGCTCTCCCTGCAGACACCGACTACGTGACAGCACTCTGCTCCCAAGTGGTCTACGAGGGGCTCGTGGACGACACCTTCCGCATCAAGTGTGGTACGTGACCCGGGAAGGGCCGGGCAGCTCGGGGCTCTGTGCTCACAGCGGGGCAGAACAGGGCTTTGCACTCACAGGTGAGTGTGGGAGCACTCACAGCTCGGGGCTCTGCCCTCACAGCACAGCAGAACAGGGCTCTGCCCTCACAGCACAGGGCTCTGCCCTTACAGGTGAGTGTGGGAGCACTCACAGCTCGGGGCTCTGCACTCACCTGGCCAGTGCCAGCAGGGTTTGTGCCTGGCCCTGTTCCCACAGGGACAGTCCCAGCGTGGGGTGCTGCTGGAGGTCATCCACAGGGACAGTCCTGACTTTGGCCAGGGCTGGCATCCCCTGTCTCTGCTGCCTCTTGCAGCAAGGCTGTGCATGTGGGAATGTTGCTGTGTCTGGGACAAAGCAGCTCTCCACTTTTCCCTGCAGGCAGCGTGGATTTTGGGCCAGATGTCACCTCTTCTGACAAGAGTATCAAAGTGCTGCTCAATTCCCAGGACCAAGTGAGTCCTCACAAGCCTCGGGGAGGGCCCTTGGTGGGAGCAGGCAGAGTGGCCATTCCCTCCCCTAAGCTTGAGCAGGAGTGGCTGGGGGCTGCTGGGCCCTCGGAGCATGGGTTCAGGCACAGAGAGCAGAGAAACCTGGTGCAGCTGCACTTCTGAACCTGTCTGGGCCCCTGCATGCAGGGCTGTGTCACAAATGAGGGTTTTAAGGAATCCCCAGCAAAGGTGTCTGCAAAAACGGGTTTAATATAAAAGCCACAGCTTGACAAAATTCATTGGCAGAGTTCTACACGGTTAAAGCACGGAGATAAAAAGCAAAAAAAAAACTATAAATCAATGAATCCAAACCAAAATCAACCCAAAAATATCGAGGTGGAGGTGGGGAATGAGGGGTAATCAAAAGGATAGAAAGGAATATGGAAGACCCTCCTGTTGAGTCACGAGTTCATAGTAATTTTCCATCCTGGTCACAATTCAGGTTGGTATTTTACTATGGAATTTGACAATCAAAATATTACTCCACTTGGGTTTTTATTCAAGTTACAAAACAATTTTCCCAGGCTGTTTATTAAGAAGCAGTAGCTGGTTAGACAGTACCAGTTCCTAGGAAGAGAGAGTGTTTCTGCTAAGCTGGGGAGGGCCCAGTGCTGTTCACCAGGGCTGACCTGAGCAGCATTTCTCAGATCCTGCTGTGGTCAGAGGGGCACGCTGACACAGGCTGCTGTGCTGCCAGCCAGGGTTCTGGGGCCAGCGGGGTGTGGGGAGCGTTGGCCCTGGGCTCTGTGTCCCCAGGGCTGCAGTGGCCGGGCCCTGGCAGCTGTGCTGCTTGCACAGGTGTTCAGCCAGATCCGCAACGAGCACTTCTCCAGCGTCTTTGGCTTCCTCAGCCAGAAGTCACGGAACCTGCAGGCGCAGTACGACGTGAGTGTCACCCTGGCACGCGTGTGCCACTGTCCCTCGCAGCCTGGCCAGGCCCCCCTTTAGCCTGGCCAGGACCCCCTTTAGCCTGGCCAGCCCCCCTTTAGCCTGGCCAGCCCCCCCTTTAGCCTGGCTGCCCCTGCTCTCCCTCCCGCAGCGGCGCCGGGGCATGGACATCAAGCAGATGAAGGACTTCGTGTCGCAGGAGCTGAAGGGACTGAAGCAGGAGCATCGCCTGCTGAGCCTGCGTAGGAGCCTGAGGGGAGGGAGGGCTGCACTGCAAGTGCTGGGGCTGCGGGGAAGGGGCAGGGGGGCCCTGGATGTGCCCAGCAGGGACAGGGCAGGGGCTGCTGGTGTGTGCTGACAGGGCCTGCAGAGCCCTTTCCCCTCCAAAGCCACTGTGTCCCTTGGCTCTGTAGATATTGGTGCCTGTGAGTCTATCATGAAAAAGAAAACCAAGCAGGACTTCCAAGAGACCATCAAGGCTGAACACGGTGAGTGCTGCTCCATCCGTGCCTGCCCTGCCCCACTCTGAGCCGTGGCCTCGCTCGCCCCAGGCCAGGCAGCCTCATGCCTGGCTGTTCCCTGGGTGGCCCCGTCCTCCCGGCCCCTTCTGGGGGTGTCTCGAAATCCCAAGTAGGGGCAGGCTGCACTCTGAGAGGGAACGTGTGGAGGGGTGGGGGCCCCCTTCCCTGGGCTGGCAAGAGCCCGGGGGTGATGCTGCCTGTCCCTGCCACAGCACTGCTGGAGGGCTTTGACATCCGTGAGAGCACCAGCTTCATCGAAGAGCACATCGACCGGCAGGTGAGAGCACGGGGTGCCTGAGCACACTGTGACAGGTGAGAGCACAGGTGAGAGCACGGGTGCCTGAGCACACTGGTGACAGGTGAGAGCACAGGTGAGAGCCCGGGGTGCCTGAGCACACGGATGGCAGTGACAGGTGAGAGCACAGGGGAGAGCACGGGGTGCCTGAACACACTGATGGCAGGTGAGAGCACAGGTGAGAGCACGGGGTGCCTGAACACACTGATGGCAGGTGAGAGCACAGGTGAGAGCACAGGTGAGAGCACGGGGTGCCTGAGCACACGGATGGCAGTGACAGGTGAGAGCACAGGGTCCCTGCTGCAGCTCCCTGCTGCCCCGCTAACCCTGCTCCCCACAGGTGTCCCCCGTCGAGAGCCTGCGCCTCATGTGCCTCCTGTCCCTCACGGAAAACGGTGAGTGCCCGCTCTGCCGGGCCAGCAGGGGCACCTGCCCAGGCACCGAGCTCACCTGGTGCTCCCCACAGGTCTCATCCCCAAGGACTACCGCTCCCTGAAAACGCAGTACCTGCAGGTGAGGGCCAGAGCCACTGCAGAGAGAGAGCTGTGCTGGGGGGACCCTCCTGTGCTGCTGGCCATGAGGAGCTGAGCCCGGCACTCCTGGGGCTCCTGGGGCTGGGATCTGCCTCACAGCCCCTTCCTGAGCCCCAGCACGGCCAGGCTGGCTCTGCAGGACAGACCCTGCCTCACAGCTCCTTCCTGAGCCCCAGCACGGCCAGGCTGGCTCTGCAGGACAGACCCTGCCTCACAGCCCCTTCCTGAGCCCCAGGCAGTGCCTGCCCCTGCCCTGTGCTTGCTGGGGGCTCCGAGCAGCCTGTGCCTGGCCGCAGAGGGGACAGCCTGTGTGCTGCCCGTGCTGGCAGGCGGGGCCCACGCTGTGCCTGCTGTCCCGTTCACAGAGCTACGGGCCCGAGCACTTGCTGACCTTCCACAACCTCAAGCGCGTCGGGCTGCTGACCGAGCAGGCAGCTGGGGAGACCCTGACAGCCGTGGAGAGCAAAGTCAGCAAGCTGGTGACAGACCGTGCTGCGGGTGAGGCAGCCCGTGCCCCGTGTCCCTGCAGCCCGGGAAGGGCAGCTGCTGGCCCAGGCCTGGCTGGAAGCACGTGTCCCAGCGATGGTGCTGCGGGCAGGGCACTGGGCTCTGCTGGGGGGGCACCAGGGCTGGCAGCCACCAGGGCCATTCTCCAGAGCACACAGCGCTGCACACCTCTGCCAGCCTGGCGCTGGCATCCAGAGCCTCTCGAGATGTTTCTCCTTGTCGTGTTTTCCAGGAAAGATCACAGATGCCTTCAGTTCTTTGGCCAGGAAGAGTAATTTCCGAGCCATAAGCAAGAAGCTGGGGTTGGTACGTCCTCAAGGGGTGCGGGCTGGCCACAGTGCCCACAGAGCAGAGAGCTTTGCTTAGCCTGTGCCCAGGCTGCAGGCTTGGCACCCCAGGGGGACACTGCTCAGGGCCAGAGCTGCTCCTGGCAGCCTGGGGGCATCTCCTCGGGGCTGGGGGCCACTGCCAGCTTGCCGCTGTGCCCTGGCCCCGTGCCCTGTGAGTGTGGTGCAGCACTGGGGCTTTCCTTGCCCCCTTCAGACACTGCGGTGGCACGGGGCAGGCAGCCCTGTGTTCTCCATCCTAGGCAGAGGTCCTAGGGTGCTGGCAAGGTGACATTTCTGGGCCATTTCTGTCCCTGGCCCTGCTGCACAGCCCACCGGGGCACTGTGACGCTGCCTCTGGCATGGTGGGGCGGGCGGTGGGGACAGAGCCGTGCTCCGAGTGTCTGTCTCTCCTCACCCCTGCACCTCTGAGGGGCACGAGGCCCCGGCAGCCTGGTCCTGCACCCCTGCTGTCACCTGTCACTGCAGATCCCTCGGCTGGATGGCGAGTATGACCTCAAAATGCCTCGGGACATGGCGTATGTTTTTGGCGGGGCCTATGTGCCCCTGAGCTGCAAGATCATCGAGCAGGTGAGCCCGTCTGCCACTGCAGGGAGCCGGGCGCATCCCCGCACGCCCTGCCTCCTCCTGGGGTGCCCGGCAGGGCTCCCGTGCGTGCCCCGGGCCGGTGGCGTGAGCGCTGCGAGCCCCGGGCAGCCCCGAGCCTGCCCGAGCCTGCCCGCCGTCCCTCAGGTGCTGGAGCGCCGCGGCTGGCAGGGCCTGGAGGAGGTGCTGCGTCTGCTCAACGGCAGCGAGTTCTCCGCGGCAGGTAGCAGCGGGGCCGGCGGCGGCGGGGGGCCGGCCCCGGCACGGCCTGCAGCGCTCTTCTCGCGCAGACAGCGCCGCCGAGGACAGCGCCGCCGGCGAGAGCCAGCGCGTCGTGCTCGCCGTCTTCCTGGGGGGCTGCACCTTCTCCGAGATCGCGGCCCTCCGCTTCCTGGGCAAGGAGAGAGGTAGGAGGGCCTGGCAAGGGCAGGGAGCAGGCAGGAGCCGCTGCAGCGCAGCCAAGCAGGCTCTGGGCACTGGGCAGTGGGCTCTGGGCTTTGGGCTCTCGGCACTGGGCTCTGAGCTCTGGGCTTTGGGCTTTGGGCTCTGGGCACTGGGCTCTGAGCTCTGGGCTTTGGGCTCTGGGCTTTGGGCTCTGAGCTCTGGGCACTGTGCTTTGGGCAGTGGGCACTGGGCACTCTGCTCTGGACTCTGGGCTCTGTGCTTTGGCCTCTGGACTCTGGGCTCTGGGTTTTGGGCTCTGGGCTCAGCACCGGCTGGAGCCCCCGGGAGGGGCTGGGGAGGTCCTCGGCTGTCCTGGAAAATGTGCGGGGACAGGGCAGTGCCGGTGCTGCCCCGCAGCGCTGCTGCGGCACCGACGGGCCTTTCCTACAGGCTGCAAGTTCATCTTCCTGACCACGGCCATCACCAACAGCGCCCGCATGATGGAGGCCATGATCGAGGCCAAGGCCTGAACCGCAGGGCCCGAGGGCAGCCTGCCAGTAAAGATTGTGCTGACAATGACCCGGCCTGGGCCCGTCTGTGCGGGAGCGCGCCCCGCGGAACAGGCGCGGGCTGGGGCCGGGCGGGGGCGCGCAGGGAGCGCGCGGGGACGCGCAGGGAGCGCGCGGGGACGCGCAGGCGCCGCCCGGGGCGCGGTCACGGAGCGCTGTCAAATGGCGAGCGCGCGGGGGCGCCGTTACCCGCGCAGGACGCGGCGGCGGTCTCGCTCCGGATTGGCTGGAAGCGCCCAAGGCTCTGCACTGCCATTGGCTGGGGGTGGCTTGGGGCGGGGCGGGGGCGCGGCCCTGGCGGCGGTTGTGGGCGGGGCCGCGGGGGAGCGGCAGCCAGTCGGCGCGGCCGCGGGCAGTTCGAATCGGCCGAGCGGCGGCGATGGAGCGCGGGGCGATGAGGAAAAGGTGCGGCACCGGCACCGGGACCGGGAGGGACCGGGAGGGACCGGGAAGGACCGGGGGCTAGCGGGGGGAACCGGGGCTGGGGCACGGCCGCGCGGAGGCGCTGCGCTCCGGGGCGGGCGGTCGCGGCGGGACGGGCGGTGGCTGCGGAGGCTCTCGGGCCCCGGGCCCGCCGCTGACGGCCCGCCGTGCCCAGCGAGGTGCTGGCGGCCGAGGCCGTGTCCTGCCTGAATCGGGCCATGGCGGCGCTGCGGAACATCTGGGAGGAGATCGGCATTCCCGAGGAGCAGCGCCTGGAGCGCACGGACGTCGTCAGGAAGCACATCAAGGTGAGGCACCTTGAGGTTCTGGTGAGCCGCGCACCTGCTGCAGCCCGCGACCCCGGCAGCTCCGAGCGAGCCCACCCGGCCCGCTCTCGGGGCTCCAGCACGGGGCCGGCTCTGCCGGGAGCAGGGGGGTCCCTGCCCGCCTCTGCCCTCGCCCTGTGCAGCCCCGTCCCACCGGGCTCCCCACGCTGCCCACGCCTGGCTCGGACCCAGCCCTGGGTCTCTAGCGGTGGTCCCGCTGCCCCGCCTGCGCTCGGTTCCCTCGGCCTGCCTCTAACTATTGGTGAAAAACCAATATCTAACCACACCGTGCTGCAGAGTCTCCTGGACATGATGGTGGCGGAGGAGGAAAGCCTGAAGGAGCGTCTGCTGAAGAGCATCGCCCTGTGTCGGAAGGAGCTGGACACCCTGTGCAGGGACCTGCAGCTGGGCCCCTTTGAGGTGAGGCGTGGGATCCTGGGGTCCTTCTGCCTGCCTGGCCTCTGCCTGCGTGTCCCAGAGGCCAGAGCTTAGCAGGCAAATATCTATTCAAAACTGCTTTTGTGGGTGCTTGCTAGAGGCTCTGTGGCTCCTCACAGGCTAGGCACCGGTAGGTGGTTGTGTGGTGCTCCCCAGCACCTTGTTTTGTGTGTTGCTGGTGTTCATCCACCTTCCCGGGGGACACCTCACTCAAACCCAGGCCTGGCAGCCTCAGTCTTTGTATAAAAACCCAAAGCAAGAGCCAGGTGCGGGAGAAGTGCAGAACAGAGCTGATGTCTGGCCCCTTGCAGGTGGAGGAAAGCACTATCCTGCAGATGGAGAAGAACTTGCGCACGTGTGTGGAGGCACTGCAGAAGCAGAAACGGGACAGGAAGCAGGAGCTGAAGGCCCTGCAGGAACAGGACCGAGCCCTGTGTGACATCCTGTGCACAGCTCCGTTCACCATCGACACCGGGAGCGTGCCCAGCCTGGAGGACCTGGACCGCTACCGGCGCCACGTGGCCTCCCTCAACACGCTGAAGGTGAGCCTGGGGGCTGGGGGGGCCGGGGGGCCCACAGGGGACTCCTGGCTCCTGACACCGCCCTCACCCCAGGAGCAAAGGCGGGAAGAATTTGTCACCAACAAGCGTCAGATCATTCTGCTCATGGAGGAGCTGGACCACACCCCGGACACCAGCTTCGAGCGGGACGTGGTGTGTGAGGATGAGGAGGCGTTCTGCCTGTCCGAGAACAACATCACGGCCCTGCACAGCCTGCTGCAGCAGGTATGCTGTGCTCTGAGGCAGCGCTGGGGCTGCTGCCGTGGTGTAAGAGCAGCCGCTGGGTTTTGGTGAGGCTGTGCGTTAGAGCACCCCCCGGGGCTCAGGAGATCTCGTGTGCGTGGCCCTGAGGGTGCAGCAGAGCCCCGGGCTGAGCTGAGCCCCGGGCTGAGCCGAGCCTTGAGCCGAGCCCCGGACTGAGCCGAGCCCCGGGCTGAGCCGAGCCCCGGGCTGAGCCGAGCCCCCGGCTGAGCCGAGCCCCGCTCCCCCTGCAGCTGGAGGCCCGGCGGGCCCTGAACGAGGCGGTGTGCGCGGAGCTGCGCGCCCGGATCCTGACGCTCTGGGAACGGCTGCAGATCCCGCAGGAGGAGAGGGAGTCCTCGGCCGTGCACCTGGCTGGCTCCAGAGTCCGAACCAGGAGAGCTGTAAGAGCCCTGCTGTGCTCACGGGGCAGGGCTGGGGCAGCAGCTCGGGCGCTCTCGTGCTCCTGGTTGCTCGGTGCGGGGTGAGGGGAGCAGGGCAAATTCTGCCTTCGTGGAGGGAGGAGCTGGAGGTTGGTGCTGGCAGCTGCCTCGTTCCAGAGAGCGGCTCACGCAGGAGATGAACCCTGTCCTCCTCCTCTTCCTCCTGACCTGTGCTCTGTCCGGGCCAGCTGCAGCAGGAAGTGGACCATCTCGAGGAGCTGAAGCTGCAGAACATGAAATCCATCATCCATGCAATCCGGGCAGAGCTGGCTGTCTACTGGGACAAATGCTTCTACAGCCAGGAGCAGAGGGAAAGGTTCAGCCCCTTCTATGATGGTGGGTGCTGGCTGGCCATGCAGATTTGGGGAGGGATCCCAGGGCTTCCAGCAGCCCCCTGACCTGGCTGTGCCCTTCCAGAGGATTACACAGAGACCCTGCTCAAGCTGCATGACGCTGAGGTGGGCAAGATGAAGACCTGCTATGAAACACACAAAGATCTGTTTCAGGCGGTTCAGAAGTGGGAGGAGAGCTGGAAGCTGTTCCTGGAGCTGGAGGTATTTTCCAGGCGGGAGCATGTGGGGTCATGGGTCAGTGTGTACCTCTGCTCCCGTGGGACAGTGCTCTGGGAAGGAGCAGGGAGCCACTGGGAAGTCATGGTGGGCCAGAGCAGGGACGAGGTGCTGTGTTTCGAGCACTGGGGTGTTTGTGCAGGGCTGCCTGCTCTGGAGCCTTCACCATGAAAGGCTGAGGGGACTGGGTGGTGTGTTTGTGTCTCTCCTGCCCACCCTTCTCTACCAGAGTAAAGCAAATGACCCCAGTCGCTTCACCAATCGAGGAGGAAGCCTTCTGAAAGAAGAAAAGGAGAGAGCAAAGCTGCAGAAGACACTGTCTAGGGTAGGTCCAGCCCTGGGGAAGGACCTGTGGTCCCACTGACACAGGAAAAGGGGTCCTTGGGTGTGGGGACACCTGGGTTCAGGGCAGCACCTACACTGCCCTCCTGTCCTGATCAGCTGCAGGAGGAGCTGGAGAGGAAGGTCCAGAGCTGGGAGGAGGAGTTCAAGGAGGCTTTCCTGGTGAAGGGGCAGCAGTTCATGGAGTATGTGGCAGAGCGGTGGCAGCAGTACCATCTGGAGAAGGAGAAGGAGAAGCAGGAGCGGGTGAGTACGGAGCTGAGCACGCTGGCTTCTGCCTGGGAGTGTCCCTGGCTCCTGCCTAATGCCAGCCTAGGGGTGTCCTGCTGGGCCCCAGCCACTGCCCTGGGCTCTGCCAGCTCATTCCCAGCTTGGAAGCAGCGGGCAGTGGGGCTGGTGCCCACTGCTGTCACATCTGCGTGGGCCGAGCCCCTTTCTGGCCCCCGCTGTGCCAGAGGTGACGCTTGGCTCTGCACACCTGTAAATCCGTGCTGCACTTCCTGCTGTGTGGCTGTGCCGGCTGCCAGCAGGGCAGTGGCAGTGTCAGTGTCAGGGGCACGCAGTGGTGCTCGGAGTGTGAGTGCAGGCGTGTCCCACAGCACCTGAAGAAGAGCCGGGAGATGGAGGCGGAGATGCTCTACGGCAGCGCCCCACGGACGCCCATCAAGCGCCGCATGCTCAGCCCCCAGACACCTGCCAAAGTAAGCAAGGTAAAATGTCCCTGCAGAGCAGTGGGGTGGGCTGGGTGCCCGGAGCAGAGCTCTCTCTGCAGGGCTGGGCACAGCCTTGGGCTGCCCTCGGCCCCGTGGGGGTCGGGGTGCTGCAGCTGCAGGGGAAGGCAAGATGTGGCGTCCTGTGTGACGCGTGCTCTGCCTCCTGCTCAGCTCCATGGCACCTCCAGCGCCAGCACCGCCTCCAACACCACGGTGCGCTCAGCCTTGGCAAGAGCCATCTGCCACTCGCCCACCTCGCGGCTGCCACCCTCCGGGAAGAAGGTGAGGGGTCTTGGGGGACTCCCTGCCCGGGGCTGGGCTGCAAGGGACGGCTGAGCTGAGGTGCTGCAGCTCTTCTTGCTGTCACCCCGTGGTTCACCGCCTCCCCTGCTGAGCTCGTGGGGCACAGAAGCCCCTGTTTGTCTGCGGTCTGCTCTGTTGGGGCTATGGCCATCCTGCTGGGGTGTTTCTGGGACCTGAGGGAGGAGGAGAAGGGTGCCAGAAAATCTTCCTCCAGCCCAGATTTCTAGTACACCTGTTCCTTAGTGCTGAGCCTGCAGCTTGAGGGACCTTCAAAATGTGTGTGTGCTGGCAGACAGGGCTGAGCATCCTTGTCTAGTGAGTGGCATCCCTGCCTACAGCAGGGCGGTGGAACGAGATGGGCTTTCAAGTCCCTTCCCACCCACATCACTGCAGGATTCTGTGCTGTATGTTTCAGGGTCCAGAACTGGACCCCAGAGTCTGGAGAGCTCCCGGAGCCTGACACTGCTCTGGCTCCTCAGACTGATGGGCACTGCAGCTGCCACAGCTCTCCTGCCTCTGCTCAGTTCCTGCGTCCCTCAACTGTCCCCCTCCCCACAGATCAGCCAGGCTCGGACCCCTGTCCGCGCGGCAGCGAAGCCCCCCCGACGCAGGCTGAGGGAGCAGAACAAGGAGAACGTGTCCCAGCTGGATGGAACCACCCGGAGCGGTGGGTGCACCCCCAGAGCCCCTGCCCAGCGTAACCACAGCGTTAGTTCTGTTGCCAGCACCTATTCCGAGTTTGCGGTAATTCACCTCTTCTAACCCCACCCCGTCGCTGCACAGCACGGGACCTTGGCTCCCCCTTGTCACTCCCCGTGTCCCCCGTGTCCTCTCGCGGGGGGCTGCTCCTGCCCTGCCTGTGGCTCCGCATGGACAGCTTCTAACAGAGTTGGTGGCAGAGGGCCCTGAGCACGAGCGGGGCTGCTTTCCTCTCCCAGGGTGGGGGACCTCAGCAGGCCCTGGACAGCCTCTGTCCTCCCATCAGGCTGGGCTGAGCCAGAGATTTACCATTGTGCGACACTACCGAAAGGTTTTTACTCTTTATACATTTTAGTAAAGAAAGACATTAATGTTCATTGGTTACAAGTTGCATAGTTCCTGTATTAATTTGTATTCCATCTCCCTTTGGCAGCCTGGCCTGCCTCTCTCTGTCCCCTCTGAGCTGTGAGGCTGCAGCCCCCTCCCTTCCCTCATCCCTCTCTTGTTTCCCCACTTCTTGTTTCCACAGCGCCAACTTTCACAGGCTTCCCGCTTTGAAAGCGCCTCCCGTGTTCTCAACTCCACCACCAACAACGCCGCGTGACGCAGCCCTGCTCCGGCAGCACTAGAGGGCCTGCAGCACCTCTCGCTCCGCATAGCGCTCCCGTCGGTTGTTTTAAAAATGTGCTTTTGTTTAAAAAAATTTCTATGTTGTTAATAAAGTATTTTTAGAGCCACGCGCGCGTCTGGGGGGTCTGGCAGCGAGGGGCGGTGGGAGGGGCGGGGCAACCAGGCCCGCGGGGCGTGGCCAGGGGAGTCTCAGCCAATCAGAAACCGGGCTCAGGCTGCAGCTTTTTCGGCCGAGTCCAGCAGCCCCAATTTGTGTCCTGATTGGCCAAACTGGAACTCCGCGGCCTGATTGGCTGAAAGGGACGGGCCTTCAATCCGTGCGGTGATTGGCCAAACAGGGAGCAGCCCAATCATTTCCTGATTGGCTAAAAAAAAAAAAAAAAAAAGAAAAATAAAAAAATCCCTGCACTTTCAATCCGCATCCGGATTGGCTGAAGAAGCAGTCCAATCCGAATCCTGATTGGCTGAAAAACCTAGCGCTGCCAGCTGTGTCCTGATTGGCCGAACAGGATGAAGCGCCGATCCGCTCCGCGCCTGGAGCGGCAGCGAAAAACCGGCCCCAGTCCCGAGCGTGCCGAGCCGAGCCGAGCCAGAGCCCGGCCCCAGTCCCGAGCGTGCCGAGCCGAGCCGAGCCAGAGCCCGGCCCCAGTCCCTGACCAAAAGGGATTTTCCTGCCGAGTAAAAAGCTGCAGCCCCGCTCCCCAAACCACCTTCAGCCCCTCTCAGCCCCTCGCTCTCCCCACCTGCCCCTCTGAACTGCCCCCCAGCACTGGAGGGGCAAGCACAGGGTGAAAATCAGGAAACCTGTGATATGAGACAACAGGTCCGTGTGGGAAGCAAAGGCCACACAGGACAAGCAAAACCAAGAGTTCACTCCCTCCTTCCGCCTGGTGCTCGCCATCCCCAGGGCAGGAGCTCAGCCTCCCCAGGGCAGCAGGGCCCATCACGGTCATGGTAACTTGGACAAAACCACTATTGCTCTGAGCATCCCCCATTCCTCCTCCTCCTCCCCTTTCCACTCTGGCGTGATGCCACATGGTCTGGGACACCGCCGGGGTCAGCTGGGGGTCCCATGTCCAGCTGTGTGTCCCGGCCCAGAGGAGCAGGATCCTCAGCTGTGTGCCAGCTGCCCTGCCACACATCCCTGAACGAGCACCGTGTTCACACAAACCCCAGCCCCTGCAGCCCCTCGCCCAGGACAGCTCCACTGGAGCTGGAACATGTCTCGCACACACCAACACTGCAGCCCTTATGGAAATCTGAATTTAATAAACACATCCAGCCCGTCCCAGCGTGCCCCTGGCCCTGATGCAGCTGCAGCCCCACGCCAGCCTGTGAGTCAGGTCATTGTGGGCTAAACCCAGCCCCATCCTGTGCCGCAGGGTCTGCCTGCCCTGGCCTGAGCACAGAGTGGAGCTGGTCCTGCGGGGCAGAGCCTGCCCTCGTCCCCATCTGGCAGCCCCCACGGCTCCTGGGCCCTCACGGCTCCCGCACGCGCACATAGGTGGTCCAGGGCCCACACACCACCTCCTCCACCCGCAGCCCCCTGGCCACCAGCTGCTCCACGCGGCGTGCCTGGTCAGAGCTGATGCTGTTCCCGTGTCCCAGCTGTCCGTATTTACCTGCAGACACACAGCCGTGACATAACGTGGCCCTGGGGTCTCACAGGGAATTGCTCTGGTGTTTGTGGGGAGGGAGGGAGGGAACACAAGAGCCCCAGCATAGACAGAACTCCTACAGTGACAGGAGAGCCAAGGGCAAGAGAACAGGAACCAGAAGCTGCCCCTGGGGAGGTTGTACAGCCCCAAAGCAGAGGTGCCACTTACCCCAGCCCCAGGTGTAGAGCTCCCCGCCTCCTGCAGCAGAGACAGCACCATCAGGCAGCACCCGGTGAGCTCCAGCCCCCACAGTCCTGCTGAGGTCCCGGTGAGCCCCGGCACCTCTCAGCACCCCTGCCCCGTGGGACACTCACGTGTGACAGCCGCTGTGTGTCGGGAGCCACAGCTGACCGTGCTGACCTCCAGGTCCTGTGGCAGGTCCAGCAGTGCTGGGAACGCCTGGATGGAGATGAATGCAGCATCCTGGGCAGCCAACTGCTCCCGGCAGGCCATCAGCTCGGTGCTCCCTGCAGAGGAGGTGACAGCAGCATTGCTCACAGGCTGAACCGCACTGCACTGAGCTGCTGGGGCTGTGCAGGAACCCGGCCCCCCTGCCCTCAGCCTGGCCAGCAGCACTCACCCGTGCCCGTGTCCTCATCTCGTGCTCGCTCCTCTGCCAGCGCTTTGGAGGGCAGAGCCAGCTGCCCCGACTCGTTCCAGCCCCACACGTACAGGTCTCCTGCCTCTGTGCGGCGGGGTAAAGCACACGGGGCAGAGCTGAGCCCTGGGCCGCGCTCGCTGGCAGCACCGGGTGCTCCAGGGACACCAACAGCCCACGCTCCCCGAGCCAGGTGCCGCCAGCACGGCCAGCTGGCAGCCCCAGCCCAGCCCCTTACCGCTGACGCTGGCCGAATGCCACCCGCCGGCCGCCGCCGCCCGCATGGGCACCCCGGCCAGCGCCTCCACCAGCCGCGGCTGCAGCTCGGACTCCAGCAGCCCGTGGCCCAGCTGCCCGTGCCTGCAGGGACGCACAGGGCCCCGTCTTTAGGGAAAGTGACAGTTTTTGTGCACAGCTGCACGTCGAGGGGCATGGGGGAGGAAAAGTTTTCAGAGGAGTAACCACTGAAAGATACCAAGGGTACAGAATGAGTGGGAGTACAGCATTCGAACCATGGGAAAGGAATGAATTTCTCCTGACTTAGACAACAAAGGTGCTTTCCCAGGGCATTCCTGAGATAGCTTTCTCACCCCTGACCCCCGCAGAACACCACACCTATAACCCCCCAAAGCCTAGGATGCTGCATTCCAAAACCAGAAAGACTGATAAAAGACTAAGCAAGCCAACCTAGACCTCACAAAAAAAACTTTCTAAATTTGCCATTTCTTCAGAACAGCAACATTTTTTTTGTTTAGTATTATTCATTTTTAATACTTGTGAATTCTTTGCTTATTAAATAAACAGGTATTTTCCACTTTTCTACGAAGAAATCTTTCTCCAAACCAATTTAGGGGAGGGGGCACTTGAATTTACTTTCTAAAAGAACCCCACTCAGAAATTTCCTCCCAAAATTTACCTAAACCAAAACAAATACAAGAAGAAACACCTTTGTGAGAATAAACTGAGCAGTGCCACCAGCTGTTAAATGCACCCAAGTTCAGCTGCTGGCAGGCGACACAGGGTGCTGGGGCTGGAGGCTTTTCCCAAGGGGTTCACTCCCCTCCCACAGGCTGCACCAGAGGGACCGGGCACCGAACTGTCACAGACCGATGGACTCAATCTCCAGTTCAGAAACACAGGGGCTTTGCTGCCACCTGGTGTTGTGCGGCAAGTTACAGAGGAGCAGGGACAGAGCAGGGACCCTGACGGTCCTACAGAGACCCAAGCGTCCTCGGAGACTGCCCTGAGGGGGCCAAAAGTCAGGCCAGGGGCCAGAGTCAGTAGCCAGAGACCCAGCACTCAGAGAGGAGACAGGGCTGCCCATGGGGCCAGCGAGGGTGGACCCAGCGGGAAAGGGGCACGGTGAGGCCAGCACCCCCCAAGAGAAACCACGATTTGGGATACCTGTGCTGGGGGGAGCCGGCTGTGGTGAGGGACGGATCCCATCAGCATGTGGGTGAGCACTGGGCACCTGCAGCTGGTACCCCAATATGCTGGTACCCCAACACTTCTCCCAGCTGTAACGTAACATTCCCAAGCGCACCCCACGGGAAAGTCAGGAGGCATATCCCGGCGCCAGGCAGTGTGCGCAGGCTAATGGGGGCTCAGCCCCTCATTCCCACACCCCCTCACCTGCGCTCCCCTCAAAGGCTCCCCATATTCCCCACATCCCTTCTGCATCCCCGTCATTCTCTCTCCATCCCACCACAGCGCTTGTCCCGGAGCTCTGAAGGCCCACCCGCTGCCGTCCCTCTCCGGCACCCCTGTGTCCCCACAGCCCCTGCTCACCTGCCACCGCCCCAGGTAAAGACCTCCCCGGCGGCGCCCAGCGCTAGGGCGTGCTCCGTGCCCAGAGCCAGCCGCCGGGCCCGCAGGCCGGAGGGCAGCGCGGTGAAGAACGGCGGCCGCGGCGTGGCGAAGCCGCCGGGCAGCAGCGGCAGCGGCCGGCGGGGCTCGCCGCCGCGCCCCGCAGCACCAGGTGCGTCTCGGACGGCAGCGCCTCGGCCCAGCCCGGCAGCCGCCGCCGCTGCCCCGCGCTCCGCACCTCCAGCCCCGCGCCTGCCGCGGCGGCAGCTCAGCGACCGGCGCTGGGGACAGCCCGGGGCACGGGACGGGGACAGCCCGCGGGTCTGGGGGCACGGGACGGGAACGTCACCGGGGGACCAGCGAGGGGCACCCCGGGGGAACCGGCGCGGTGGGAGGGCTGGGGGGTCCCATCCCGGGGGAACCGGAGCGGTGGGAGGTCTGGGGGTCCCATCCCGGGGGAACCGGCGTCAGGGGAAGGGGCGGGCAAGACGAACCGACGCGACCGGCGCGGCAGCGCACGGTGGGAACGGGACCCGCCATCCCGGGGCGCGGCAAGGGTAAGCGGGCACGGGCGGGACGGGACCGGGGCTCCGGGGGCGCTCACCGGTCTCCACGACCACGTAGCTCCAGGCGGGCCACACGCGGGAGATGCCCTCGGGGCCCGCCTCCAGCCGCCACGGGCCCGGGCCCGGGCCCGGCTCCCCGGCCGCCTCTTCGGGGCTGAACCCGAACGCGAGCCAAACGCAAGCGGGCGCCGCCATGGCTGGGGCGGAACCGGGAGAGGAGGGAGCGGACGTGACGGCGGAGGGGCGGACGTGACGGCGGAGGGACGGACGGACAGACGGACAGAGGCCGGGCCGTGGTCCAAGAGTAGCTTTAGTGTTACCGGGCGGCGGTCCCGCCCCGGCTCGGCCCTCCCGGCTAAGGCAGACGGTGGCAAAGGCGGCGGCAAGCCCTGTCCTCCCCTCGCCCCGGGGCACCGGGCGGCCCCGCCCCGGGCAGTGCTGAGCCAGCTCCGCGTGCAGCCGGGCCCGCCAGGGCCGCCCTGAGTCAGCGTGTGCAGCGTGCGAGCGAGCGAGCCCCGCGGGCCTCAGGCGTGGCCAGGATTGGGCTTGATGAGGCCGTAAGCCACTGCGTGTGCCAGGCTCTCCTGGGCCGCCTGGGCCACCCGCGGCTTGTCCTTGTCCTTGGCAAGCACAGAGAGGATCTCCAGCATCTCGCTGGCGATGAGCTGCTCGGCCACCTCCCGAGCAGCTGCCATCATGTTCATCACCACCACGGCGCCACGGTGCTGCAGCTCCGCGCTGGGGCTCAGCAGCAGGGCCTGCAGGATCTCCAGCCAGTGCACCGTCTGCAGGGGAGTGGGGCCAACATCATCACGGACCCCGAGAGAAGGGTCCCAGCTCCCCCGCTACAGCCCCATCCCAGAGCTGGGTCCAAGTCACAGCAGGCTGCCCTGTCTTCTGGGGCCAGAGCTCCAGGCCACCGCAGGGAGGGAATATGGGACACAGGGTGCTGTGTCAGGGTGCACTCACCACCTGGGGAATCCGCTTGCAGATGGCGGGATGCAGGCTAGTCAGCATGGCCAGGGTCCCCGAGGCTGCCCGCCGCAGCTTCTCGTCCTCCTCCCCACTGTACAGGACCATCAGCTTCAGCCGGTCGCTGCCCTCAGCCAGGAACATCTCCTGCACCTGCACAGGGGAAAGAGGAGGGATCAGGGGGGTGCGGTGGTCCAGCAGCCCAGCACAGACCCCAGCCCATCCCAGCCTTCACCTCCTTGCTCATGGCCATGTTGCACATGCACTCAGTCGCGGCTAGCCGGATCAGCTCGTGCTCCTCAAACATGTACCCCTCAATCATGGGCACGGCCCGCTCTTTCAGGATCTTCTGCCTGCGAGGCAAGCGGGCAGTGAGCACTCCCTGCCAGGGCAGCCCGCCAGGCCCAGGGGGACAGCCAGGGGCCCTGCTCCCCCATCCCTACCGCAGCCTCTCGCTGATGCCAGCCAGGTTGGTCAAGGCCATCAGTCCCTCAAAGTTCTCCAGACCCGTGCGCTGCAGGTGCAGGAGGCTGACCAGGGGCCGCACCACCTCATAGATCTGGGGAGACAGAACACATGGGAGTGAGTCAATGCCCACTGCTGCTCCCACCTGAGCCCCTGCCTGGCAGACCCAACCCCCAGCCCCAGCACTCACCCGCTCCCCAGGGAATGCCATCTCCGGGTTGGAGGTGATGGTGATCTTTGCTAGGGCCTGTGCTGCCTTGGTCTGCCCCACCTCAGTGCCCTCCAGGGACAGGGGGATCAGAGCCTGGGGGCAGAAACAGCAGCTTGTCCTGCAGCCAAGGCCACAGCACCCAGGGCAGCCACAGCTTTCCCCAGCCTCACCTCCAAGGGAGCCAGTGCAGCCCTGCTAAACCACAGAGCCCAGCTCGCCCCGGAGCAGGGCAGCGCAGAAGCACAGCGGGGTCCATGCTCTCACCTTGCCTCCTCCCTGAGCAACCACACCACCCCGGTCTTCTGCCTCCTCCACCAGTGCCAGGAACACTCTAGGGACCAAGAGGGACTAGTTCCAGCACTCAGACAGTCACACCAGGCCGCACCAGACTCCTGCTGGACATCCTCCCTACTGTCCAGGAGCTGTCCTTCACCACAGGCACGTTAAGTTCACCAACAGGATGCCAGCAGTCTGGGAACCCAGCTCCCCGCTGTGCCCGGCACGTGCGCACCTGGAGATCAGCTCCCGGCAGGAGCTGGTGAGCGCCGGGTTCTCGCTCTTCACCATGCAGGCCAGAGCCGACACCACTCCAGCCACCAGCAGCTTCCGCACCCGCCGCTTCACGAACTCCGGCTTGTCCTGTCCACAGCCAGGGCCACGCTTGGCTCAGGAGCACCTGGTCAGGTGCCCAACCCCACCCTGTGGGCCTCAAGGACACCGTGTCCACACCTGGCACCCCAGGCTGTGTCCCACCCACCCGCTCTCCTCCTAAGCACGGCCATGCCCTGCTCACCTTGGGGTGCTGCTCCGGGATGTGCTGCTTGGCATACTTGGCCAGCTCCAGCATCTGTGGGTCCGGCTCCTCGTGGTCATAGCTGTTGGTACAGTTCACCAGCGTGGAGGCAACAGCATAGAGCACACTCCTGTCCTCTGACTGTGGCGACAGTGGGCACCCGTCACACTCACAGCAGGGAGGAGCAGCCAGGACTGGAACCCACCCAGCCTCTCCCACACATCCCCCCCAGAGCATGAGCCCCACACCTGCTCCAGCACATTTCCCTGGTGCCAGGGTGTCCACCCCACAGCTCTTGCTATGCACCTTGGCCAGCTGGAACATGGCCTGCATTGCTGCCTTGTCCTCCACAAACTCCTCCTTGACATCTGCATCGAAGGTGAGGTAGGCCAGGCCCTCCACAGCCCAGCGCCGCGTGCCCGCATCGATCGCCTCGTTGCAGAGCCACCTGGGAGAGAGGTCCCTGAGCTGGCTGGGGGGCTGTGGACAGCCCAGCTGCAGGGAGCCCAGCTGTGAGGCACCCTGCCCACCCCCCACACCTGGCCCCGCTCACTTGCGGCACTGCTTGGCCAGCTTCATGGTGGATCCCTCAGCAAACTGCTTCATGCTGAAGTCCGTGCCTCCTGCAGATCCCAGCTTGCAGAGCCCCTGCAGCCAGGAACAGAGTGTGGGAGCAGGAATGGATGTGGGCCACCTGATGTGTCTCCTGGACCCACGGCAGTGGGGAGCAGCGCTGTGGTCCCACCCCACCGCCCACCCCAGGGCTCTGTCACACCCTGTGGCCGCGTGCTCACCACGAGGGCACGGATGCGGATGCTGTCCCTCTCGCTGTGCTTGTAGATCTCCTTGAGCAGGTTGACGCCGTTGGCCGTGATGAAGGAGGCGCGCTTGGCCTTGTCGGCCGCGTGGATCAGCGCCTCCACGGCCACCAGCTGGTGGGCCTCACACACAGAGGCACAGAGGGACAGCACGCTGTCCATGATCCCCTCCAGCTCCAGCACCCTGTTCCCTGCATCCGAGGGACCCTGCAGCAGGCACGACACTGTCTGAATGGCCCGCAGCTTTCCCGGCAGCTCGTGCCCCTCGAACCAGCTCCTTCAGGGAAAGACCACCAGAAAGGGTCAGGATGATCCACCTGCTTCTTCCTGCCCCACCTGCTGAACCTCCCCCACGGCAGGTCCCCACTCAGCTTTAGCACTGAGGGCGGCAGGTACTGCCAGGCTTCAGGTGACAAAAGCCCCATCACTCCCAGGACAGCCTGGCTCACCTCACATAGTCCTCACACAGACGGTGGAAGTTTTCCCTCTCGGCATCACACTTCAGGTCCTCATACAGTTTGCTGAGCAGAACAGAGGTGCTCATCCGGCTGTTCTCTGTCACAGGCAGGCTGCCCAAGCTGCCACACACTGTGCTGCCCACCTCCAGGATTTTCTTCAGGCCTGGGAAAGGTCAGACAGCCCAGTGAGGGGCGCAGTGGCATGTGCAGAGCTGGGGCAGTGGAGCACAATGCCCCAGCAGGACAGTGCTAGTCATTCCACTAACCCTGATCAATCACCCAGAGGCTCAGACTGTTGTTGGTCTCCTTTGGTGACTTCCTGGGCACCACCTTGATGAGCAGGTTGAGAGCGTTGTCACGGCCATGCGCTGAGGCCCCTTCCAGCACTAGCAGCTCCAGGAGGTGCTTGATCAGCAATTTCAGGTCCCTGGAGGAATCTTCCAAAAAAGAGTCCCCAGCAGTCAGCACCCTGGGCATGGCCTCACCCCCACCGTGGCACAGCTGGCAGAGATGCTGCCATGACCAGGGGCTTCAGCCTCCTGTTAACCCTGGATCAGAGCCCAGCTTTGCTGCAGGGAGCAGTGACAGGGCAGCAGCAAAAAACCCTGTGGCACCTCTGCACCTACCTGGGGCTCTCCCTGTACAACAGCCAGCCAGGGCAGCCCACACTCACCCAGCACCACTGCATCCTCCTTCCCGCGGAAGTCTTTCTGCAGCCCCTCCTTCAGGGAGTCGAACATCACGTGCAGCAGGTTGCAGGCAGCCAGGGACACCTGCTCGTGCTCCACACCCAACACCGCCGCAAGGCGGGGAGCCCCCAGTTCCGCCAAGATGGCCGTGGTCTGCAGGTGCAGGCACACCTGTCTTCCAGAGGCCTTGGGGAACCCTTGCCATTCCCCAGCCCCTTATCACGATGGTTTCCTCTCACAAGGTCAGGCCTGGCAGGTGAGCTCAGAGCTCCCCCGTGTGAGCCTTTGTAGCCTGCCCAGCAGGCTTTCCCCGGGGCCCAGGGGATGGTGGGGCAGGGTGGGACCTACCCGCGAGCGGTGGCCGGAGCACAGCCCCACCAGCGTGCGCAGGGCTGCCAGCATCAGGTCAGCCTTGGCCGTGTCCAGCAGCTGCAGCAGCAGCCGCACACCGTCACTCTGGAAGATTTTCTCTGCTCCAGCTTCTTCTCGTGCCAGCACAATCAAGTTCTGCGCAGCCTGGGAAAGGAGAGTTCTGTCTGGGTCACAGCAGCACACTGCACAAGGAACTGCTAGCAGCTGCACGCACCCACCCTCCACCCCTGTCTTGGGGAGCATTCTGCGGGCAGCGAGCCCGGCCTGCCCAGGCAGCACCACTCAGTCACTTGCTGGCCAGCAGCAACAGAACAATCCCCCCCTCCTCTCCTCCCAGCCACAGCACCGCGCCCCACTCCCTGAGCTCAGACTTTCTGCTTCTTTTCCGCATCCTTTTCTTCGAGATCCAGCAAGATCTGGAACATCTGCTCTACTTTCGAGTCCGTGCAGGACATGGCCTTCATCTGCAACAGAGCAGAAAGAGTGGCTCAGTCCTCCCCGCCTTCCCCGGCCA